CTAGATATTACACAATTTGCATAAAACTTGGATTTCGATAAGATAAAAATCATGTTGGTAGCAAAACATGTTAAGTGCTCTCTACACTCTAATCCCTTCTTGCATTCGACAAATAAAAGATTTCACATCAAATATAAAAAATAAATATTTTTCTTACTATCAGTCGTGTATCCTACTCGCGGGTTCTAAATTCAATACGTAAAAAAAAATCAATAATAATAAATGATACCATGACTACAAACAAGTCGGAGAGCAAATGTAAGCAATCAAAATTATTAGAGCGAATGCAGAAGCGTACGTTTTAGTTTCTTATATTTCATACGAATTATATAGCAATATTTTAAATTTTAAAGATCAGTATATAAAGATTATTAACTCGCATTTACAAATAAAGGATTTGTTCTTGATAAATTACGTACAAAAATGATTATATCGATGAAATATTGTACTGTGTGACACGAATTCTCCCCCCCTTTCGAAAATACAAGAAAGGAATTAGTGTACAGTACCATTTCTTTGTTGAATTATTTCAATCTGAGTCATTTTTTTTTTGTATTTAATATCTTTATCTCCGTGTATGAAGTGTAAAGTGACTCCAAAGTGAGCTCTACATTCCCTCTTCTGGATGGTAGAAGACTCAAAGGGGAGATAGAAGACAAGGGGTGTGGGAAGAGGGGAACAAAAATTCATTTTGAAGTAAAAATATGTAAATATATGTAAGAAATATAGGCAGTAAAAGGGGACAGTATTTAGAAAATTTTTGTGGAAACACTAACAGATAGGGACAAATCTAGAAAAGCAAGAGGTATGGATGATCGACCCTCGCTTCATTATTTCTTTAAAATAATGTTCATATTTTATTAACTTATTTTTAACATTACTTTTTAATTTTTAAGTTAAAGTTATTATTGAAGTAATAAAATATTTATATATTGTTTGTTTTATTATACGAATTAATAACAGATCCTCTATGATCTGTTGCTTTTGTTGTTTGTATATTGATTTAGTTAATAAATCTTAAAATTTCGCATTAATAAATGAAGAAAAATAACATTACAGAATAATAAAACATATGCAGGTATAGTAGGCCTACATAACAGAATTCTATTATATAAGAATAATATTCACATATAAATGATAATAAATCAATTGCTTCGAAGTTCAAATTTACTCTGTTGTTAGACGAAGATACCGGAAACAAGTACCTTTTAGAGTGGCAATAACGGAAGATACATCACTTCAATACTTAGCAAGGAGGCGGGGAGTATCCACGAGGGGTGCTTATGGTGCTGCAGTGTGCTTGATACCAAATTTTTTTACTTTAAAATAAAAATAAATATAATAAGACATATCGCATGAGGTAAATAATTAGGCAAGTAAAGTAATTCTAAGGCAAGGGTGTAACATTCTTCAAAATTTGATAGGAGTGTGCCATCACCCTTATTCTCAAAATTCTGGATACTTCACTGTAAGGAGACACTCTTTGATATACAGACTAGTTAATTTATAATAATAAATAAATATTGTACTATAAAATACTCTAAAAAATATAGTAATTGACGTCGACAATAAGCCTAATTTTAAAGTAAATTATTGCTACAAATCACTCATTAAAAACGTAAATTTACAATTAAAAATAAATATAAAAATCACGAGAACATTTTAAAAAGCACATAAATAAAGTAGAGCTATTTTTATCACAGTCTATTGTAAAGGTAATTAATTTTGACTTCGCATTCTGTCTTGAAATTTGTTTTATTATACTTGACTATTCGTGCTTTTGAAGTTAATTAATTTTATTCCTACGAATATTTTTAACTGTAAAATTTAAAAATATTCCATTTATATAAGAAAATTGCAATCTTAAATACAAATAAAAATTTTATCAAATATTTATTTGAATAAATAAAATTTTTTTAAGGAAAATATAAATAAAACTACAATCGAAAAATACATCTGAATAAATTTATTTACTTTTTACTCATATTTTATATTATTCTAAAAAAATAATAGAAAAAAAATTATATATCTGCCTACACTATCTATTTATTCTTTCATTATTTTCTGCATGATTGATCATCTACAACATTATTTTTATGATATATTGTAAAGTAAATCAGTCTGTAACATTATTACAGTGATGATTTATTACTATTTCATAGTTTAATATATTATAATTAGTTTAGTAAAGAAATATATTGATAAACATGATTTCACTGCTGAATAATTTATATTTTCCTCTCAACACTCTTAAGTAAAATTGGTAACTTTTTTTGTGAATTTTCCTGGCATTCTTTATTTGTTTTCTTCCTTAATAATTTCTACCATTACCTTAAGTCTCCAGATTGGTTTGGAAGATATTAAGAGATATCTCCCGAATCAATTGTCCGATTTTCCTGAAAATTTCTAGAAAACTTCCTCCCTAATACATAAATCTCCATGAAAAATTTCAGAAATTTTTAACGAAAAGTGTAGGAGTTATTAAGCTTCAAAATGGGTAAACGAAATTGTGCCCTCCCACACACACAAACCGATCGCCATACTTTCCCTCTGTTACAGAAAGTAAAACCAAGTTAAAAATTCTTTAAAATTTATTTTTTTAAACAAGATAAGTCAAGTAATGAAGCACACAAAGGAAAATATTTTACAGGAAAATCTATTTTGGCGTCATTAATGTAACACTTTTTGCCTGATGAGCTATTAGTAATGATTGGTTACATCATTCTTTATTAATTAAATAACTTACCTTTTAAAAGTTAATCATGCAATTTTCATTAGGGAGATCTGAAATTATATTTTCTTTCAAAACATCTTTCATCTAAATTCTACATGATTTAACATTTATGATGTTGCCAAAGTCTCTCCTTTTATGATGATATAATGACGTAACTGAGAATTTAAAAAAAAAAAAAAAACTTTTCCATTACTAAAATCAAATTTGAAGTTAAAAAAAAATATCCAGTACAGTTATGATTTTATGAAATTAATTATTTTAAATCAGATTTAAAATAATGAGAATATTTTTGTAAACATATACACGTAAATCAGCTTATGTCTCTAATGGTTTAATTAAATTTTCATGAAAAATTGATAAGAAACATAATTTTTTCATCAGATAAGAATCTATTGTTTATTATTATCATCATTATTTTTTTATCTATAGAAATATTTACGAATAGACTCGCTATCTTAGACTTAATCACTCATTAAAAGTAGTCTATTCATGCTATGGAACCTTCCTCGTCGGCGATATCAACGAGGAAGGTTACAATTTGCAACTATATTACACTATTTTACTAGTGTAATGGCTAATAAAAAAGGAAAGAACAGAGAAAAGACGCAAATAATGTTTATGCCAGAACAAAACTTTTACGAATATAAAAAAAAAACCTGTTAAAGTTGTTCTGTTCTGGAATAAATATCCTTTGACTCGATTCATTTAAATCAAAAATTATTGTTGGATTTGACGTATCCTAATGCTATGATTCTACTAAAGACCGTAACTTTCTATAATTTCGTAATACGATAATAAAATAATAAAATATAGAAAAAAAATGAAAGAGAAATGTCCAATATTATTTACGAGGTAGGGCCTAATTCAAAATTTTCTTTTGTTTTTCATTCATTTTACTTTCCCGTTATATAGAAAAGCGATCGATTAAAAAAATCACCCTCAAGATTTTTACATTTTTAGACTCAGATGACTTTAAAACGTCGAGAAATGCAAAAAAGTTGGGGATTTTTTCTGTATGTAAGGATGTTAGTATGTGGAGGACACGATTTTTTCACTCACTTTGAAGCATAATAACTCCTGTGCGTTTTGTCTAAATTTTTTGAAATTTTGTAAGGATATTTCTGTATTAGATAGAAATATTTCTTGCAATTTTCAAGAAAATCGGACTATTGTTTCTGGAGATATGGCACCATCCCCTTAATATCTCCCGAATCAATCTGAAGTCTTTAAGGTAATGGTAGGAATTATTAGGGACGAAAACAAATAAAGAATGCCGGGAAAGTCTATCAACAATGTTTTAAAAATAGAACTGAAAAAATTCTTAAATGATAATATTCACGATTTCACTTAAAAATAATAAAAAATTTCTGATAAATCAAAAAATTTTTATCTAATTTATTCGGTCGCTGTTAATTGTTAAGTAAAGAGCTTACATTCTTTAGTCAGAAATCTAATACTAAATTCAGTTTGAATCCCAAAGACCTTTATATATTTAAATAGCTTAACATAGAATTTTTTAAAATCATTTTCCAATCGTTCTAAAAGTCTCTTGAATGAGAGGAATGAAATCTCTACAGCATGAAAATTGCCATGCTTGAAAGATTATAGTTACTTTAAATACATTTATTGTTAAATAAAAAATATTTTTTCTGATAAAAAAAATTTTAAAATTTACTATTACTATATACTAAAAACTTAATTTAATTAACTTTGATAACTTCTATATGCAAATTTATATAGTATCATTTACTTATATAAATTTATACATATTTAATTATATTGTGTGTATATAAAAACATATTTTCGTTTAAAATTTATATAAGAATAAATATTAATTAATTAACAAAATTAAATTAAATATTTAATTTAAAAAAATGCATATAAATTCATATTTACTTGTTATCTATTAGGGTAAAAGGTGAATGTTATTAAAAATTTTTAGCAGCTGCTAACTAAATTTATTGGTTATTTAATTAAGCACTGTGATAATTTCTTTTTTTTAAAAAAAACGAACATAAATTTAAAGAATATTTAATAAAATTTAAATTCTTTATTAAAAATTTCATTATCTTATCATCAATTTTAACATATAAAAATAGTATTTTTTTTTAATTTTATATTATTAAAATGCATGTATTTATGAAACCACGTGGATATTTTAAAACTGATATTTACTAAATTCGAAATTTTCGGGTGGGGGGGTTAGAAAAGATGACGTCAGCCAATCCATTTTCTTCATCTGAAGATGGCGCAACAGTCAATGGCTCAGAATTGACGTTACATGATGTTGTGGTTGCACGTAGTTTCCTTGTGGAGCTTGACGAATCTTATTGAAGGTCAAGGTAAAAAAATATTTAAAAAAAAATAAACATTTATTTTAAAATAAATTTAATAATTTATAATATTTAAATTATAATTAATTTTTATTTTTAATTACGCTCATTTTTATATGTACCAAGTTTTACCGTTTGTTACTTTGTTGTCTTTTAATTAACTTTAAACTAGTTTTTTTATGTTACTTTTTAAATTATTTTACGTTAAAAAGTTATATATTTTAGTATGTTTATTATTAAAAGTTCCAATTTAATTATTTATTTTACTTTATTTTTTTTATTTATTAATAAACTTTCTGTAGATATATTTTTCTTTCGTAAATGTTTATTTATTATTGTTATTATTATTATTTTCTAAGTAATAGATGTTATACTAATTTATTATAAGATTTATAAACAATAATTTGTAGGGAAAAAAATTTGAGAATTTCAGAATTTCGTCTGTCAGTAACGCAATATAATTTTAGAATTATATTAAATAAATTGAAAAATATTTACTTTAGATTTTATTTATAAAATATAAAATCGAAAAAAAAAATTGGAAAAAATTCAATTTAAAAAAGTTGTTTAATCATGCGAAAGAAATCAAATTTTAAGATATTAAATTATATTAAAACAGTATTTTTAGAGTAAAATTAAAAATAAAATAAAATAAAATAAAATAAAAATGTAATTAAAATAAATTTAATAATGTTTGTTAAAAACGAAATTATTGGATTAAATCGTGAATTTATAATTAATAAATTATCAAAGGAATATATTTTTTTTTATGTTTTATTCTTAAATAATTACTTAGAGAAAAATATGAAAAATTATTTTTAAAAAAATATAATAATAAATACGTTTCTACTATTTAAATATTACTTTTTTTTATTTCTTATTTTATTTCTTGGAGTTAACGAGTTTATGAGATTAAAATAATGAAAATCTATAATTGGAAAGTATGACAAATGACAAGCAATTTCACATTCGACCAAACAAAATGAAGTAATTTTTCAAAAATTTAAATCATAATAAAAGGCTTTCAATCTTAACTCTGTCCAATTTATCGAAAAAAAAAGAAAGAAAAAAGAGAAAGAAAGAGAAGACATTATAGCAAATCTTCATTCGTCTTCCTCTTGAGGTTGAACAGATGAGGGATGCTGAATGGTGACATAAACAATTAGCGAACATGCACGCGCCGTGACGTAAACATTGGAGTAGCTTAGTTATAATCTGTGATCTGGTGTCCATTAAATAGACAGATGACGTATAAACAAATAGGAGCACGGATCTTTTCACTACTTGCCCTTTACTTAAGATAAATAAACAAAAAATCTATCGTTTCCTTTGTAACTGTTAAAGTATATCTATTGATAGAAGCGATTCTCTATGAAACTACGAAAGTAATAACTGTTGACTGTTTGTTATTCTACTACTACTACTACTACTATCGATTATTTGATTGAACCTATCTTTTCTATTCCTATTTGTGATTATATTTATAGTAGACTATCGTATAATTTTAACGGTTGTATCCTTAGAAAATCGTCTTAAATCGTGGCCTTTATGACATAGAAGACGTGTTAACTATCCTCCTATTAGTTAATTCGTCGTATATCGTGGTAATTTATATTTTACACGAATTAAATTAAACAGGTTTAATTACTCGTCAACGAATTCTCGTGGCTTTGACGTGTAACGGAATTTATACACCTTTTTTTTATGTTGTAAAAAAAGTAGTATGTAGTTAGATACAATTCAAAGAAACATTCATAGCGTGACAAAAATAGCTTGTCTCTTTTCTCAACGTTTTATTTTTCTTCGGTAGATTTTTTTTACCATTTCTATAAACGCTATAACAGTGATTTAATCCGTCTGTGTGTACGTCTGTCCGTAACGTTATAGTTTTAAACTTTAAACTAATTTATGTCCTTTTCGTATTAACCAAAGTAAGAGATAATTATCCGACAGCTCTAAATTTTTATTAATTAGTGTAATAAATTAGCACGAATAATTAATAATTAATTACAATGGCTTAAACACGTGCATATGTAATTACAACGGCTTAAACATGAATTAATATTTTTTAATCAGACTTTTTTTTTATAATTATTTATGTATTTAACAAAATATTTATTTTAATTAATAATAATAATAATAATAAATTATATTTAAAATTATTTAAATATTTAT